TAATCAAGTCTGAATTAAACAAATAAATCAAAATGTCAGGAAAAAAAATCATCTTTCTATAATAAAACGAAATGTAAAAGGTTTAAACTCCCCAACTAAAGCAGATTGGCAGAACAGATTAAAACACAGACCAACCATAGGCTGTTTTATAAGAGAGTCATCTTATAGGGAAAGACATCTATAGGCTATTGGGAAAGGATGAAAAGCTATACTGTGTAAAGGGAGACTGAAAGTAAGCAAGGGTGTCTATTTTCATAACTGACAAAGATGCCTTCAACACAACATAAATCAGAAGAGACACAGAAGGCCATGCCACACTGTTTAAGGGAATCATCCAACAAGATAAAATGATTTTAAATATTCATGCCCCAAATGTCAGTACACTTAGACAGTATAAAACAAATCTGTATAAAACAAATCTTACTCAAAAGAAGAATCAAATAACCCCCAATACAATGATACTGAGTGATTTTAACACACCTCCTTGACCAATAGATAGGTCACTCAAGTATAAACAAGGTAAGATTTCAGAAATAAAATGTATATTTTATTTTTCCCCTTCCCCTCACTTCCTCTTGTATGTACTTTTGTATAACTCTGAGGGTCTCCTTCCATTTCCATGCAATTTCCCTTCTCTCTCCCTTTCCCTCCCACCTCTCATCCCTGTTAAATGTTAATCTTCTTCTCCTGCTCTTCATCCCTACTCTGATCTTAGTTACTCTCCTTATATCAAAGAAGACATTTGGCATTTGTTTTTTTAGGGATTGGCTAGCTTCACTTAGCATAATCTGCTCTAATGCCATCCATTTCCCTGCAAATTCTATGATTTTGTCATTTTTTAATGCAGAGTAATACTCCATTGTGTATAAATGCCACATTTTTTTTATCCATTCATCTATTGAAGGGCATCTAGGTTGGTTCCACAGTCTTGCTATTGTGAATTGTGCTGCTATGAACATCGATGTAGCAGTGTCCCTGTAGCATGCTCTTTTTAGGTCTTTAGGGAATAGACCAAGAAGGGGAATAGCTGGGTCAAATGGTGGCTCCATTTCCAGCTTTCCAAGAAATCTCCATACTGCTTTCCAAATTGGCTGCACCAATCTGCAGTCCCACCAGCAATGTACAAGTGTACCCTTTTCCCCACATCCTTGCCAGCACTTGTTGTTGTTTGACTTCATAATGGCTGCCAATCTTACTGGAGTGAGATGGTATCTTAGGGTGGTTTTGATTTGCATTTCTCTGACAGATAGACATGGTGAGCATTTTTTCATGTACTTGTTGATTGATTGTATGTCCTCCTCTGAGAAGTGTCTGTTCAGGTCCTTGGCCCATTTGTTGATTGGGTTGTTTGTTCTCTTATTGTCTAAGTTTTTGAGTTCTTTGTATACTCTGGATATTAGGGCTCTATCTGAAGTGTGAGGAGTAAAGATTTGTTCCCAGAGTGTAGGCTCCCTATTTACCTCTCTTATTGTTTCTTTTGCTGAGAAAAAACTTTTTAGTTTGAGTAAGTCCCATTTGTTGATTCTAGTTATTAACTTTTGTGCTATGGGTGTCCTATTGAGGAATTTGGAGCCCGACCCCACAGTATGTAGATCGTAGCCAACTTTTTCTTCTATCAGACGGCGTGTCTCTGATTTGATATCAAGCTCCTTGATCCATTTTGAATTAACTTTTGTGCATGGCGAGAGAAAGGGATTCAGTTTCATTTTGTTGCATATGGATTTCCAGTTTTCCCAGCACCATTTGTTGAAGATGCTATCCTTCCTCCATTGCATGCTTTTAGCCCCTTTATCAAATATAAGATAGTTGTAGTTTTGTGGATTGGTTTCTGTGTCCTCTATTCTGTACCATTGGTCCACCCGCCTGTTTTGGTACCAGTACCATGCTGTTTTTGTTACTATTGCTCTGTAGTATAGTTTGAAGTCTGGTATCGCTATACCGCCTGATTCACACTTCCTGCTTAGCATTGTTTTTGCTATTCTGGGTCTTTGAAGAAGACCTTAGAAGATGAAAGGAATTCCCATGTTCTTGGATAACCAGATTTAATACTGTCCAAATGCCTATACTACCAAAAGTAATATACAAATTTGATGCAATTCCCATCAAAATATCAATAGCATTCTTCATAAAACTAGAAAAATAGTCCTATAATTAATTTGAAAGAATAAGAGACCCAGAATAGCTAAAGCAATCCTCAGTAAGAATAATGATGCAAGATTATACAACAGACCTGTAGTAAAAAAAAAAAAAAAAAAAAAAAAAAAAAAACAATAACAACAACAGAAAAAACCACCTAATATTGGCATCAAAATAGTCATAAAGACCAATGGAATAGAATAGAAGAGCAGGTAGAAAAAGCCTACAGAATGGCAGAAAATCTTTGCCAGTTACTCTTCTGTTGGGGGATTAATATTCAGAATATATAAAGACTTCCCTCCCTTCCAAAAAAAAAAAAAAAAAAAAAACATCAAAAAGCAAACAAACCAATACCCTAGTCAATAAATGGGCAATAAAACAAACTGGACATTTCTCAAGATAAGAAATACAAATGGCTAACAATATGTGAAAAAATATTCAACATCCCAAGCAATCAGGAAAATACAACTCAAAACAATATTGAGATTCCTTCTCACTCCAGCTAGAATGTCAAATATCAAGAATACAAATAATAATAAATGCTGGTAAAGATGTGGAAGAAAAGGCACAATCATACACTGTTAATGGATCTGCAAATTGTCAGATACTTTGGAAAGCAGCATGGAGATTCCTCAAGAAACTAGGAATGGAACACAGTATAACCCAGCTGTACCACCCCTTAGTATTTTCCAAAAGAATGAAAATCATCATACAATTCACAATATCCATGCTTGGAAAGTTAAGGTCAATTGTTTTCTCTCATGTATGGAAGTTAGAGTAAAATAAGGCAAAAAGGTATGAGGGAGGATCCCATGAAATGGAAGGAACATTAGTGATTGTGAGAAAGAGAATTGAAGATTCCCTATGAGGAAGGGTATAGGAAAAGGGAGGAACTGCAGAATGAAATAGACCAAATTATGTTTGTATATATGAATATGTGTATAAAGGTAATTAAGGTTATACATATATATTAATATATGTATAAAGGTGAAGTCCACTTTTATGTATATCTATAAAGCACAACTTTAAAAATAAATAAATACAAAGAAGATAAGTAGAATAGAGGAAGTGAAATGGGGGAAGGTATAAAGAGGAAGTATTGGGTCCTGAAATGGAGCAAATTATATTCCATGCAAGTATGGTTATGTCAGAATGAACCCACTATTTTGTATAAGTATTATGTGATAATGAAAACACTTTTAAAAAGTATAATTTCAGAAGTGAATAAAATGATTCAAATTGAAAGAAGATATTTTATATTATCAAAGTTAATAGTAATATAATTACAAAGTACTGGGCAGCAGTCATGTAACTAAGGTTGTATACCTGTTATTTTATAGGATAAGTACCACTAGCACTATTTTGCAGACCAAGAAATTGAAACTTAGGGAAGTCAGGAGATACACTCACAACATACAGAACTAATAAATAACAGCTGAATTCTAAAGTTCTGTGCCCTTTATACAAACACACAATTTCATTTTATATGACATATAATTTGGTCTCCCTTCTTCAGTTCTCTCTTCAGTTTCATTTCTTCTATCTGTTCCTTACATTCCCTTCAACCCCTCTATTTTCCCTCCCATTTTGTTTCAAGCCAGTGACAAGGCTGTCATAGATCTTACGACAATTTCATTTTAAAAAGCTAGGCAGCCCACATTAGGAACCTGCATAAAGTCCTTCAGGTTGTACTCTCCACTCCTTTTGTGTTTCTCATTTTGCCTCATGAAAGAGGCTGGGCTAACAGAAGAAGGGTGGACCTAGAGGTCTCTACTCAATGTGTACTGTAGGTAAGAAATTCTTTGATTTTCTGTGTTGAGAGAGCATAAAAGTTTCCAGTGGTAGTGTATACCAAAAAAACAACAACAAAAAAAAAACATATATTCTATGTGTTTGTTGATGGGTACATCGTACCTTCCTGTATATACTATTCTACTTTTGAGCATGTTGGAAATTATTTTATAAAATAAATTAAAGTCTCCCTTGTCTGTACTTGCCATTCAGCAACTGTATTCTTTGCTTATCCAATGTTTACTATTTCATGCTCTGGTAAGGAAACAATTTCAAAATAAATCTCAACACAAGGAAAGGTCAATTTCTGAAAAAAAAATTATCATTATAAAATTATGTCAACTTAAATAAAGACAAATTTACTTAGACATTTTCTTCTTTTTTCATTCTTATCTTCTTTGTATGATACCAATTTCATGTTTATGGGACACATGAATGCAGAGAAAGGGAAATGTCTTATATCTGTCAGAAATAACACATGATTCATATGAAACTCCAGATGGAGGTTCTGTTAGTGAGATGTATTCAACAAGCCCCTTGCAGTCAGTATGTAAAAGAATAACCCTCTGTCACAGGCACATCCTAGAGGAGCAATGGACATGGCCCTGCTCCTTGGCTTCCAATGTTGCATCCTAAAGTCTCCAAAATCCCAATTTTATAATCCATGTGGGCAATGTTGCCTTGATTTTCTGATTCTCATATCCTTAATCTTATTTTCTAATTCCTCTGCTTCAATTCAGAGTATCCTCTTTTTCCACCTATCTAAAGAAAACTGTATTTTATTTTCAAAAATACTTCATAAACGGGAAAGTGAAAATATTTCAGAAATTTTCTGTTTTGAATGAACAATATTTAATATATTTGAAGTACGTTACGTATCAAATTGTAAACTGTCAGAAAGTAATAAACAACCACATAGGTTCTGAATGGGTGCATTTCTTTGTAAAAATATAGTTTACTGAAACATTAAGAATATTACAAAAGCCTTGAATAATATTTTGAATGAAGTTAGAAACGTACATAAAAATCCATTGCACTCTAAAATTTTTAAAAACAAGAAACAAGTGTCTTACCATTGTGAGAGTAAATGGATGGTTTTCCAATGCAGATACACTGGGACAGTGAAGAATAACATACTGAAAAAGCAACAAACAGATTAATTTTAAATTACTAAAAAAGAAACTCAACTATCCCAATGAAGCTATGTGTACTAATTTTTTATATTTTTTGTAATTACTTAAGAAATTAAGGGTGTTTTTAAAGTTGTTGACCATTGACTCACCTGACCAGGTCTTGCTTTAAAATTTTCTTTGACCATCTGGATTTCCATGACATCTGATGGATGACTAATGACTGAGATGATGGTAACTGGCTTATTGCTCCGGATACACCTATAAAGTCTTTCTGCACAGTATAGGCACAAAGGTCCAGAAATCCAAAGCCAAGTCTAAAGGAGAATTTTCAAAAATATATTTCAAAACACTTAAATTGTAAGTATGTATATTCTGCCTGAATGCTTATTTTATACATTATGATAATAACATTTCAGCTTGTATTTTTAATAATAAAATGCAAATTAAAATGAGTCAAAATAATAGATGCTCATTCATTCAAACAAAAAGAGAGTGCAAAATACAATACTGTTGAGACCCAACCTCAAGCCCACACCCCAGGCATAACCACCATTCATTCTTTCTTACATCCATATGTGTACACAAAAATATAATGTATATACACAATTTGTCTCTGTAAAAGAAAATAAAAGCAAACTGAAACCTCAGATTTATCTAAGGATGGTTTTAGGGCAAAAAAAAAAAAAAAGCACCAGTCCAATGTGTAGTAAAAAGATAATGCGGGGCTGTGGTTATGGCTCAGCAGTAGAAGGCTCGCTCGCATAGCTCATGCAAAGCACTGGGTTCCGTCCTCAGCACCACATTTAAATAAATAAATAAAATAAAGGTATTGTATCCAAATAAAACTAAAAAACAAAATATTAAAAAAAGATAATGCCCTAGATATTTTAATGCATATTGTGTATATGTATAAAATGCACATATACACAATGCATACACATTTATATGCACATACATCTTTTAAAAATGAAACATTCCAGGCATGTTGTTTACAACTTACTTTTAAATAATATGAGCAGATAATAATACTTATATAAAAACCGTGACAATTTACAACTGGGAATTACCGCCCATGGGGCCAATGTTTCGTTTACAACAGCACACTATATCTCTCTCACCACTTTGAAGCCTCTAACTAAATCTTACTTTAATGGTCATTTCTTAAATCTTATTTACATAGTTGATCCAGGACTCCCCCGTTCCATGAAGTTAGAGTGGGTCTCTTTTTTATAAGTTTAGCCTCACACTGTGTGAAGAATAGACATGGAAGGGCAAGTTCTGCAAAGTAGCTACCTTGAAACTTTGAAACAATTACCCTTTAAGCACCAGGTTCCGCATAAGCAAAGTGGCAGTAGTCCTCATACCTGCCCTGTCCAATACACAGCATTTTGTGAAGCTCAGAAAACTTTGGAAATAATAAAGTCTGATAGATATCTAGAGGATTATTACTAATAAAACCACAAAACTAGCACATTTATTCAAAAATCTTCTACAAATTCTAGTTTTTGACTTCTAATTCTTCTTTTTGTAAAGTAAAATTTGACATCAGTATTCCCTACCTTCATTCAGAACAGATAGAGCCAGGGTGGAATTTATATGTGGATAGTTCCCACAGCTACAAGGAAAGATTAGGGCCCTCACTAAACTCTTAGCTAAGTACTTGGAGAAGTTTTCCAAGACCAAGCATTTGGTCAAAGAACTAAGTTTGCATACTACCTGTACCATTTACTGTCTTAGAGGCTTTGATAAAGATATTTTATGCATTTTAAATACAATTTCTTCATTAGAAAATTGAGGATAACAGTAATTGCTTCTAATAGTCATTTTAAATATTAAAAAAATATATTAATACAGAACATTTCAGCACAGTGCCTAGAATATAAAGCATTCAATAAATCAATTATACCATTTGTCATTGATGATATTGTGTATAAATATTACAATATAATAACATACAATGAAATAATAATTAGTAGTATATAGTTGTCTTAATACTGTTTTTATTATTCAGCCAGCACTTCTCAGTATACAAAGATCATAAAATTAATAAGCAGAAATTCTGTATAATTTGAAATATCATGTCTTTTGCCTTGGATTACCAGGCCCTGTGTTGTAATAATAGGTATTCTGAAACATCTTATGCATAAAGGCACAGTGTCAAAATATGTCTAAATGTGATGTTGATCAATTGAATGGAGACATAGACTTTGCAGAGATCAAACATACAATTAATCTAACCTGGGGAAAATTAGCTTGGAACTTGGGTTCTTCCACACAAATCTTCACAAATGTTTTCCCGTTAAGCTCTTCTGGTTTTGAAAATCCTCCAGGAAATGGTTCATGAAAATGTTCTGAGACATATTCCAGTGAGGAAATATCCTGATAGTGTGTTTTGTTAAGATTGATGCATCCAGGAGGATGGGTATCCAAATTAATTTGATACTTCAACAGTCCTCTAAAATTAAATTAGAAACACATAGGGAGATTTAAAAAAAGAGAGAGAGAGAGAAAGAGAAAAATTGAAATCAAGGGCTGTAATAAAGGAAAATAATCACTTTTTCTTGCTAAATTTACATTGCATTATCTGAAAAGTGTTCCCTTGTGTCATATTTAGGATAAATCAAAAAGTGTTTAAAATTTTAATAACTTAATTGCTAAGGGACTAAACAAAATCTTTATTACTTCCAAACAAATGCAATAAATACATTGTAGGGAAGAACACTTGCAATCTTTCAAAGTATTTTTAAATTTGACAGTCTTTATTTCAAATCTGTTATGCATTTGTGAAATTATATACAAGTTTTCACTTCAATGAACACTACAGTGATGACTACTTTGCAATCTCCAAACATAAAGAAAAAATACAGGGATCATATTTGATTTGGCTAAGACTGAACAAAACATGCCTTACTGAAGTACAGGAAATGTTAAACAAAAATAACAGGAACGGTAAGCTTGTGTGTTCTATGTTCAGAAAACAATTTATACTCAGCAACCAACTCCTAAATCTGTTTTTTTTTTTTTTCAATCTCTTCACAAACACAGCCACATAAAAAGCTCAAAAGAATAAATCTGGTAGGAGAGATCACATCTTAAAATCCTATTCTTTTTGTTTCATATTTTAGGACATTCTAAATTCTGTGTTCTACATTTCTTATCACTGTTGCCTAAGAAAACAATAAAGAAAAAAGTCAGATTTATAAAAACATTAAAATTTTTGTATTATATTTTATTTTTTAAAGGGTACCAAAAGTAAATTTATTTTCAAAGTTATTCTTTCCTAATTGGCTAAAAATGTGTTAATTTCAGGTTACCTTTCATGCTCCAAATAATCAATTTTGATAGGTTAAGAAAAATTGAAGTGTCACAGAACTGTACTAACTTTACAAAGACAATATTTTATGCTGGAGAGGATGTGAGGAAAAAGAAACTTTTATACTTTTTGGTATAACCACAATGAAAATCAGTATAGGGGTTTCTCTAAAGACTAGGAATGGAATAACCATATGACCCAGGTATACCTCCCCTCAGCACTTTGTCCTGAAGAATTAAGGTCATAATAATACAAATTATTTATAGCAGCACAATTGCCAAATTACAGAACCAGCCTATGTAACAGATGAATGAATAAAGAAAATGTATATATAAACAATGGGTTTTACTCAGCCTAAAGAAGAATGAAATTATGTCATTTGCAGGAAAACAGATGGAACTTGAGAACATTGTGTTAAATGCAATAGGCTAAATTCAGAAAGACAAGGGTCATATATTTTCTTCATACGTGTAATGGAGGAAAAGGGTAAGGTAGGGGTCTCATGAAAATAGATGAGAGACCAGAAGAATAGAGAAAGAGTACCAGAGGGAGGAATAAGTGAAAAAGGAGAGGTACTTGCAAATGAAATTGACTAAATTATATTAGTATATTGCATGCATGTATAAATATGTAACAATGAATCTCAGTAGTATGTATCATTATAATGAACCAATAACTTTTTAAAAAACTGATACTTTTTTTTAAATCAAAAGTTAAGAGCATAAACAGTAAAACCATTAGATTGAATATGTGATGGTGGGAAGGCAAAGGCCAAGGCGTGCTGGCATCTGCCATCTGTCCAGTCTGATCACTCCCCTTTTTCCCTTTTGATCACAGTAAGTTCCCTTTCTCTAGTTATTTTTATTTCACTCTGTTCCTTAAAACTAGTCATCATAAAATCATAAGAAAGCATTCAGTGCATGTTAAAGGCATCTAATTACTGGGCTGGATTATATGGCATTCATAGGGACCACACATACAGATAACAACTTTTAAAGGAATACAGCAGACACAGCCTATGTATTGAATGAGTTAATAGAAATTAAATCCGAGCCAATATTTTTGTCATTAGTCATTCACAGCATTATTTTTATAGAATAAAATTATGTACTATACTTGGACAACCCATTCATTTGATTCAGTTTCCATTACAACTAATGATTTATCCAAACATGTTGTTCCCACTGGTCATCCCCATGGTAAGTGGCTGACAAGTAACTCTGTCAAAAATTTGATTCATGCTACTGCTCATAAGTTGAACAAACACTGATGTGATATACATAGCACTGTTCTAGGTGCTAGAGTTCAACGAGGACTGAATTCTGCTCCCTAACCCTCCAGAAACTTAAAATCTACTTTGTAAGATATCTTGGAAGAAGATAAACTTAAGTCAAACCACAGATAATAATTATTATAGACTCTTAATAATAGTTTCATAACGTATGGTAGACTCCAGGTCCAGGACAAAAAGAAATTTTATTCATATTTCATATAATTCTTGAAAAATATATGAACTTGAAATATTATTCTAATTTTACAAATTAAAAAATTATTTTAATTATTACCCTACTGTTACATAGCTGTGTGTGTGTTTGTGATAAATAACAGAGCTAAGATTTGAACCAAGCTCACTCAAATTCTATATTCTTTTCCTCTCATAATACAGCACTTTAGGTCACTGGATCTTCACAACCTACTACTGAAAAAGGTAGGAAGAAGGAAGATTAATACTTATTAACAAAGGAGCACATTTATAATTTTTTTAATTAACAAAGAAGCATGTTGATGATTTTTTAAACATCTCTTTTCATTAAATAAACCTCAAAACAAAATAATCATACTAGGCGAGTATTTTTCCCCCATTAAAAACATGAAAAAACCCAAGGCTTTTATTCAGATAAATTAACTAGGTGGTAGTAAAAGTATGGGTTTTAGAAATCAAGTTGCTCTCACTACATGAAAAGCATGTCAGTAGCTTAAGAAATGGATGTCAAAGATGTTCAAAATGAAAAAAATCCTTTGAAATAAGGCTAGCTCTGTCTCTGTTCCCCCACCCCGTGTGTGTGTTTGTGTGTGTGTGTGTGTGTGTGTGAGAGAGAGAGAGAGAGAGAGAGAGAGAGAGAGAGAGAGAGAGAGATTGCACACATGCATGCACATGCATGCTGGAAAGGAGTAGCTTATACTTCAGGGTCTTAATTTCAGGCACAGGAATGCTGTCAATCTCTCCTCCCGAGTCCTAACAATATTCAAGTGACATAACCATACCATGTTCGAGGTCCTCGGAATGGTGGTATTGCTGCTATAAATTATACCTCTTAAGTCAATAAAATAAATACTGCTGCTGTTGTTGGCATATAATATCCTAAAATTCCCTTTAATTTTGAGAGTTTTATGTTATTTTAAGCTATGTTCAAGAAAAATAACACAGGCTATCTCTAAAAAAAATTATTAAATTTTTTCTTATTTTATCTTAATTGGTATTTCTGTCATCACAAAAGTGTGAAAAATAAAGACGAATAATGAAAAATAGCATTCATAAAAAAAAAAATCCAGTAGAGAATCTCAAGTTTATTGTGCTATAATTTGCTGGTGAAGATACTGAAAGTTTCACTGGGGAGGGCCCTGGCAGGTTCTAAACTCAGCACTCAAAGGACAGATGCTGAGCATGCCAGACAGGTGTTGGTTGCTTCCAGGAGCATTTACACAAACTTATATCAAGTGTCTGTGGTAAAGAACGGTGTCTCCATCCTACTACGAGTGAACAGGTCTAGAGCGGTTAGTAATCTGCCCAAAACAACGCTGCTAGTGGCAGAGCTGAAACAGAAAACCCAGGCAGTCTGCTTCCAAAGTCTAAATCATGCTCCTTCTGCTATACCAAGCCTCCTCCCCTTGCAGAACATCCACTGTATTTTATGAAAAAAACCTGAAACTGAAGACTAATAAATGCATTGATCAAAATTTTACAGCTCTACATGCTTCCAAGTTTTAAAAAAGGAGGCAACATATTTGTACCAAACCAATAATTTTACGTGTCATTTTTCAAGTTCAACTGAATGCCATAACTTCATTTATTACTAGTTAAAAACAAAAAGTGTCCATTTCTTTGTCACCAGTATAAAATTTCTTAGAATTCTTATAATATTTATTCTTAAAATAAAAATTCCATTAAAACCATATTATAATAGAAATTAAAACAATCTTTCTGAAGAATTTTAAATAGGAATGTAAACCCAATATTACGAATATTCAAATTGATGGATAAAATTAGATACTGTTTCTAAGGGGCCGCTCAAACTTTAGGGTCTTCACCCTGACAAAATTTGTGAAAATTTGAGGTATTTATGTAGTTTTTACTATTGTTTTGAATCTCCAATACATTTATCTAATTCAGCAGATATAACATGCATGTCTTCTCAAATACAACAGAGCCCACTTAAGTAGCTTAAAGCTTATCTGTCACTCAATACTGACCCTACATTTTGCCCTATATTACCACCAAGATATAAAACTGCGTAATCTAGTGACAGACTCTCCCATAGAACTTTCTGTGATGGTGAAAAGGAAAAATTCTGAACTGTCAGTAGTTACATGTGGCTATTAAGTGATCAAAATGTTGCTTGTACAGGTGAAAAACTGAAATTTTTAATAGTTCAATTAATTTAATGGAATATCTATAACAAGGATCTAATGAATATAATCAAACATGAAAGCAACAAGAATACAAAAGCAAACTATTAATGATATATGGACATATGTAGACATCCTAAGAATAGTAAAGATGAGTGATGAACTTGGATTATGAAATCCTGGAAAGAACTTACAGAGGAAGGTAATTGAAGGATGTACAGAGTCCAACAATTATAGGATAATGACATTCTAGTGTGAGGAAGCAGGCGGCACAAAGTCACATGTTTTTTTTTCCTCATTATTAAGAGAAGAGACCATGTCTTTTGCATTTATGCCTCAAATATTCATATTCTACCAAACCCCACCATCCCTTCAGCAAGTTTCTTGTATTTAATATATTTCTTATGCCTTTCTTATGCATTGAAATTACAGAACTACTTTATGGCAAAAGTTAAATATTAGAAAATACCATGCTGCCAAAATGACAATCATGAAAATCATTCCTACCTTAACTT